TAGCCCAAAGTGATATAATGTATAGGCCTGTTATGGTTCGGGGCTTTTCATCTTCCAGCTGCCTGTGTGCATGTTGGAGGTGCAAAGACTCCTGAGCGTGTAATGTTAATTTTACCTGTGATCATTGAATAAATCAGCACTGTTTTGAAGTTACTTGGACTGCTACGTCTCTCAGAGTTAACGTGGTGAAAAGAACGGGGGTCCAACAATTATTATTATAAATGTTTCACCAAATACCACGACACAATATACACATTTAATTTCCAATCAGTCAGAAAAGTAAAAGCTAAAAATCCCAAAAATATAACTTAAAAAAAGAATGTCAAGTCAAACTAATGGAAACAAAAACAGCAAACATCAAAATGGGTGAATTAAAAGCTATTTAATATATAGTTATGTTATAGATAATGACAACTCACAGTTTCAAGCTGTCATAGTAACCAAACACGCTTTCCAGCTCAGGAGGAGCAAGTGATGGAAAGATTTGACAGGAAAAAAGAAAACAAAGAAATGCTGATACATGTCTGAAATGACTGAATCCAAGCCCACCAATGAAACTAAAACTCAGACTAAACACTACCTGACTCATGGCTTAACAGACAGTTTGGCTGGTTACAGAGCATGGGTATCCACTAATGTTCAGTAGTGCATTAAATGTGCTGCCATGAATTCACTGCAACATACATGTAGGAAGAAACCATTTGTCAGTGGCAGCAGACCAGTGACAGTGCTCTTTATGCACACATTATCAACAGACTCACATCTAAGTGCATACTTTTTTGTTTTGTTGTCCTGGTTGTGGTCATTACATATACATGACTCCTTATTAATCCATATGGCTTGAATATTATTAATAAAAAATGGAGTTGGTGGTTATTCAATAAATCTAACAACATAATTTGTAACCAAGTTATTGATGTTGAGGTTCCATATGTCTAAAAAAATCAACAACTGCATACCTGAGTCAAGAAAGCATATAAACAAAAGCAGAGGTTCACTTCATCTTCACTTAATCAGATAAATAAAAG